TTTGGTTGCAGCCATTGTTGTTTGGCGGGCGGGGCTGGATTTGAACCCGCCACCTTAGGTATATGTGGCTGGTGCCTAAGCCACTTGAGCCACAGGTGCCGAGCCTAGCCTGAGTATTTGAAATTACAAGTAGTATGTACACAAAACAAAGTTCTGTATGAGAAAAGGAAATTGGTTTATTGTATTGTAATAAAGCTACTCTCTATTACTGGAGGGTTGCCATGTACAAGCTGTGCTATATATCTGTCTCTGTATGGTACTTGGGAACCCTGCAAAGGCCAGCCTTGAAGATAAGGCACAGGCCACTCCCAGAGCAGAGCCCAGAGTCCTGCTCACTGCCCCAATCAATCCTGGCCCAGGCCCACAGTAGCACTCAGTGGGCACATGGCTGATAAGTGAGTATACTGCTTCAGAGCCTCCAGTGGTTTCCACTCTGTGCAGGGAAGAGAGGCTATTTTTTAAATTATATCAGTTAACTTTGCTAAATATTCATAGTAGCACATGCAATGGCACAACTAAGATATATTGGGATATTCAATAAAGTAATGTCCCATAGATGCAAAATTTAATAGGGCCTTGTCCAGACCATAGCTTGTTGTGTTAGTTACCTGATAGGGGTTATGATCTTCCAGAAGAAGGGTCTGTCCATCTCCAGGATCCTGAGAGGGAATTTGAGGTGTTTTCATGGGACTCTGGGCTTCTGAAAAGTGACCCTGAGTCTATGGGACACAGCCACAGGCTGACCTGAGTGTGTGGCTCTCCTAGGCACTGCAGCCTGCTCATCTGCTAGCTGTTCTTGTCCTGCTGTGAAACCCACCCTTCTGTTCATACTGGACCCCACTTTGAGATCAAGTGAGAGAAGACATCTGCCTCCTTATCCCTGAAAGGGTTTTGGGAAATGCTGACCCCTGAGAACACAGCCCATCCCTCCACAGCAGGCGCTGGAAACAGCACAGCACCAGGGTAACATGTAGCCCCAGACTCCAGCTCTGTCCCTGAATATAGATAGCCCTCTCTGCTTAGGGCCTCTCCTGACAGTCACTGCCAGGTGTGAGGAGAGAACAGCTGCTCTTGTCTCAGTGTGGAAAAATGACCCTCACCACGTGATAGCCAAGGAAAACATTCAAAAGAAAAGAGACCCCAGTAAGGGACTTTAAAAGTAGGATATCAAAGAACTAGGATTTTCATAAGTCATCCTATCATGTAAGCCTCACTTTCTTCATCCATAAAATGCAAGTAGAAATGAATTTTTTCCCTATTTCTTAATAAAATGTTGCCCAAAATGGATAGCTTATTGTTTTAATTGAACCAAGAAGCTTCTAGGATGGTTCAAGTCTAGTGAAAAAGCAGCATATCACCCAGGAGGGAAGGGAAGGCTGTTTTAGGGGAATAGGAAGCATGGCATATAAACGAGGAATAGTGTAGTGATGTTAATTCCAACAGTCATCAAGAGCCTATAAGAGGCTAGCACCATGGCTCACACCTGTAATCCTAGCACTCCAGGAGGCTAAAAGCAGAAGGATCCATTGAGCTCAGGGGTTCAAGATCAGCCTAAGCAAAGCAAGACCCCATCTCTACTAAAAATAGAAAAATTATCCAGGCACAGTGACACATACTGGTAGTCCCAGATACTCAGGAGGCTCAGAGAGGAGGATTGCTTGAGCCCAGGAATTTGAGGTTACCGTGAGCTACCCTGAGGCCATAGTACTCTAGCCTGGGCTACACAACAAGCCGCTGCCTAAATAAATAAATAAATAAATAGTTTGTGAGAGCTGGATATGTTGGAGGGGTATGTCATCAGGTAATGTATCTCCCCCTATTATGATAAGCTCTACCCAGAAATGTAGCCATTAGGAGAGAAAGACATTATTCTTTATAAATAAAAGTTCCTTTGTGTCAGTATTTACATTAGAAAACTATACATTGCTTGAAACAGACCTTCTTTGGATAAAATACATACACATCTAGGATCTGAACTCCTTTTCACTGTGAGGGCTCTGCCTCCACAGCGAAGAACGACTCCACAGTTTCCAGGGGAATTCCTTCTGGTGGGCCCATCTGCAGGGCAGGCCCCTCTGCACTGGTTACTATGACAATGTCCTCCTCCTGGGACACTGTTGTACCTGGATGGGACAAGATAAGCCCATCAGAAGTCTGAATAAAAATCTGCTCTTGTCCCTGAGACAATAACTCATGACACTCATTGGTAATTTCAAAAGCCACAGCCTCACCTATAGCAACCATACCCTCCAGTTCCCTCTGGCCAGAATACACCTCCACCCCACAGGGGAACTGGTTCAGGTACCCCAAGTGGCTTCTAAAACACCCTTCAGTCAATAGTGATCCATCATGGGCCAGGCTGAGGCCCAGGCTTGGACACAGTCCTATAGATGCAGTCTACTGGCATGCTATCCAGGGACAAAATTTTCTCAAGAGGAAGGGCTGTAACCTCTGTAAACAGGTAGTTGCTAGGACCAGATTGCTGGCAGTTCAGGTTGGGGTCACACATCTTGTGAAGGTTTCCTGCCTCTGCACTTTGAGACCCACCAGGCAGCAGAGACTCCACCCTTCTACCTGATGACAAGATGCTGTAGACACCTGGGCTCCTCAGGCTGTCCCTGATGTCCTGGTCTGAAGAATGTTCCAGAGCACTCTCTTCAGGGAATGCCGCCTCCTGTGTCTGGGTCAGACTCCTGGGCTCTTCTGACTGATTATAAAGAGCTGACCCACCGACATCCTGATAGGAGGAAGTAGGGCCCACAGATCCACTCCTGGCTTCTAAGTCAGCAAATGCCTTCAGCTGCTGGCCTGCATGTAGGATACTTTTGTTACTATCAGAAACCACCATGGTATGGTTTTCTTCAGAATGGGGAGAGATGTTCCCATTTACTGGAGGGGTAAAACCTAAACAGTTTGGAAAAACAAGTAAGCATACATGTCCTGTGTTATGGCCATTCACTCTGCAAATTAACAAGCTAATCCAAACTCCCTTTCTTACAAAAAAAAAATTAAAACATAAATTCTCCTTGCTACTTGGGATTGGTAGCTATTTTTGATGTATTTTTTTGAGACAGATTCTCACTTTGTTGCTCATAGCAACCTAAAACTCTTGGGCTACAAGTGATTCTCTTGCCTCAGCCTCCTGAGTAGCTGGAAGTACAGACACCCACCACAATGCCCGGCTGTTTTTAGAGATGGGGTCTTGCTCTGGTTCAGGCTGATCTCAAATTCTGAGTTCAGGCAATCCACCAACCTCGGCGTCCCAAGTGCTGGGATTACAAGTGTGAGCCACCACACCTGGCCTTACACCTGAGAGGCTTTTCAAAGAAGCTTTTTCATACCCATCTCAACACCCATGGACCTAGAATCCCAGGGCAGAGTGTTAAAGTTATAACTCCTCCCCAAGCACAGGAAGTGGCCTGCTTACCTCATCACCCTGTTCCAATTTCCCACTGCCCACTCCAAATGACTCTTTCCTCCGGAGCAGTAACTCTTTATTGGTTATCCCACCATCCCGTCACCATTCTGAGACGTCCCTATATAAGGGTACGGTTCTTCTCCCTCTCTCTCTCTCTTCCCCTCTCTCTCTCTCTTCTCTTCTCCACTCTCTCCTCATCTCTCTCCCCTCTTCTCTCTCCTCTCCTCCCTTCTCTTCTCTTTTTCTCTCCTCCTTGGTGCTGCTCTGCAGCCTCCCTCCCCCACCAATAAAAACCTTTGGTACAAGCCTTAATGGTCTCTGCCAGTTGAAGTGCCTCTCTTTCACAGAGGCCCAGGCCCTGTGTTTCAAAATAATCTACTCAGGAGATTCTGACACATACACTCCACTTGAGAAACACTGTCCTTGATCCCATCAGGACTCTGAGAAAATTGCCTTATTCATCACCAAGTCTTCCACATCTGTGACACAGGGCATACTACAGGTACTTAAGAACTGTTGATGGTGCCTCACGCTTATAATCCTAGCACTTCGGGAGGTTAAGGCAAGAGGATTGCTTGAGCCAAGGAGTTCAAGACCAGCCTAAGCACGAGCAAGGCTGGTCCCTAAAAAAAATACAAAAATTAGCCAGGTATGGTGATGCACACCTGTAATCCCAGCTACTCAGGAGGCTGAGGCAGGAGGATGGCTTGAGGCTGCAGTAATTTGAGGCTGCAGTGAGCCATCATCACAACACTGCTTTCCAGCCTGAGCAAAAAAGAAGACCATGTCTCAAAAAAAACCCAAAAAATCTGTTGGCTCGGCACCCAGAGCTCAGTGGTTAGGGCGCCAGCCACATACACTGGGGCTAGTGGGTTCAAACCCGCACGGGCCAGCTAAACAACAATGACAACTACCAGAAAAAAAAAAAATCACTGGGCATTGTGGTGGGCACCTGTAGTCCCAAGTACTTGGGAGGCTGAGGCAAGAAAATCACTTAAGCCCAAGACTTTGAGGTTGCTGTGTGCTGTGATGCCATGGCACTTGTACCGAGGGCAACATAGTGAGACTGTCTCAAAAAAAAACAAAAAACAAAAAACCTGTCTGTTAAACTAAATTGAATTATAGGACTGATCTTAGCTTCCAAATAGCCTCTTCCAGTTTGAGACCTTATATCAAGCAAGGTATCAGGTAGTCCAGATAAGACGTTAGGAGGTCATATAATTGTTCTCAGAATGCCATATGTTCAAAATGTCTAGTTGGTAGGTTCTGGCTAAAGCCAGAATAAAAGCCAAATATGTCCTGTTTTCAAATGTTAAATCTCAGCTGGCATATAGAGCCAATGTCATGAAAACAAAGCATAAACACATGCATCTTTGGGACTCATCTCTGCCCAATCACTTGGGATCCTCCTAGGTGCAACCCACTCACCACCATGAGGCAGTCTCCATTTTAATAAGACACTTTAGAAAACTTCAAAGACTTCAAGACATATGGGGAACGAATATGGAATAAGACATTGGGAAGTAGGGATAAAATTTGAGAAACCAGAGGGTTCTCTTAAATCCAGCCACAGGAGCACCCAACCCTGAGGCAATCCTATGCAGATCTGTTTGTGCCAGCAGGGCTGTGTAGCCACAGGGCACACCCCACAGTGTTTTACCCTCACTGGCAGTTGGAGCACGTAAGAGCCCATGCTTCTCACAGCCTCCACTGTTGGCAGCAAGAGACTCTGTGGTATCCCTGGGGAGAGCTTCTCTTCTGGGCCTTTTTACTGAGGCCAGCCCCTCCTCTGCCGCCTAGGAAGAGAAGACCCCATCAGCTAAGACTAGGAAGAAATAGACAAACCTGCACTGTCCATCTCTTCCTGAAGAACAGTGTTGTGAATTGAAGAAGCCAAACTACACTAATGCAATATGAGCAGACAGTGACTGGCACCCTCATGAAACCATGCCCACCTCATTTTGCCTTTTCTGTCTGCTAGCTTCCTCTAGCTGCTCCCCATCCGTCTCTTGGCTGGGATGCTTGGGTAGAATGCAGTCTGGATGAATTTCTTTTTCCCTCCAGAATTCTTCTGTAATTCCTAATGACTCAGCAACCTGACAAGAAATGGACCAACAGAAATCAGCTTGACCCAAGTCACACACAAGTCTCCAGAAGCCTGTTCACACATGAGAATTACATGACTAGGTTTAAATCTGTAAAGTTCCTCTGTACAGTAAGATGCATCTAGACAATGAGAAAGACGAAGATATAGTTAGATGAAACAGCAATGATTAATGGATCATTACCAAAACTAGAAGGTTCTGTGTGAGCACAGTTTAGAAGAGGAGACTAAAAGAGTCTTTTTAAGAAATTTAAGGCCAGGCATGGTGACTCATGCCTATAATCCTAGCACTCTGGGAGTCTGAGGCAGGAGGATCCCTTGAGCTCAGAAGTTGAAGACCAAGTGGAGCAAGAGTGAGACCCTATCTTTACTAAAAGAAGAAAAATTAGCTGGGTGCTGTGGTGGGTACCTGTAGTCCCAACTACTCAGGAGGCTGAGTATTACTTGAACCCAGAAGTTTGAGTTTCCTATGACCTAGGCTGATACTCTAACCTGAGCAACAGTGTGAGACTCTGTCTCAAAAAAAAAAAAGTAGGCTCGGCACCCATAGCACAGTAGTACGGTACCAGCCACATACACCAAAGTTGGCAGGTTCGGAACCCAGCCCGGGCCAGCTAAAACAACAGTAACAATAGCAACAAAAAATAGCCAGATGTGTGTGTGGTGGGTGCCTGTAGTCCCAGCTACTTGGGAGGCTGAGGCAAGAGAATTGCTGTGAGCTATGACACCACAGCACTCTACCAAGGGCAACATAGTGAGACTTTTGTCTCAAAAAAAAAAAAAAAGACAAACTGAATGATGTTTGCTAGCTGATACCAACTATCTCTCCTTTAGCGAATTTTCACCAGTCTCTTCAGAAATACAATCCTGCCTATTCCATAACCAGGTCTCCCTTTCCTGCTGGTGGAAAGGTGTGGGTTTGGAGGCATGAGAGAGCTGAGCTGGATCCCAGCTTCTCTGCTCATGGCCCATCTCCCTGAGTATCCTTACTGATGCAAGAGAGATTACAACTGCCTGGGAGGTTTGTGTGGAGATTCGATTCCACATGCAAAACCTATGTAAAGCACCAAACGAAAAAGTATTAAGTGACAGCTGTTAACATTTCTACATGGGCATTATCAGGAATGGGCCACAGAGCCCAAGATGGGCATGAGGCACAGAGGAAGGACAGCAGGACAAGACAAAGTCTTCATTGTATATGTAATTGTTAACTTTAATTAAATTAATTAATTATAATTTTTTTTTTTTTTTTTTTGAGACAGAGTCTCACCCTTAGTAGAATTCTGTGGTGTCACAGCAACCTCTAACTCTTGGGCTCAAGCAATTCTCTTGCCTCAGCTTCCTGAGTAGCTGGGAGTATAGGCACCTACTTCACTCTGGCTCAGGCTGGTCTTGAACCTGTGAGCTCAGGCAATCTACCTGCCTTGGCCTCCCAGAGTGCTGGGATTTACAAGTGTGAGCCATTGCCTGGCCTGTAATTGTTAACTTTTAAAATAAACAAATGACTATTTTAAACCATGACAGCATGGTGAGAGCCAGAGAGGACCATTTAATTCAGTGTTCCCCTTTCACAGGGGAGGACACTGAGACATAGGGACCCCATCAGAGGCAGTAACTACTTGCCAGTACAAATGTTGGCTCAGAACCTGAATACTCCAAAGCCACCAGTCACCATGAAAGGTCATGGGTTAATCAGATCACATGATGCATACTCTGTCCAATGCAGTTTTATCCAAACCAAGCAAAACTACTTTAGTCAAAACTTATTTTTGTAAAGATCTCAATATAGGTAGAGACCATTTGATGACAATGATATTGAAATGAGGCTTGTGTCAAAATGACCACAAATGATAACTATTTGCCCCTGTGTAACTCACCTCCAAAAATCTACATAAAGAAGAAAACAAAGTCCTAAGGTATTAACTGTGATCATCAGTGAACAGGAGAATTATGGCTTACAATTTCTTTTAGTTTATCTGTATGTCTGAGTTTTCTGGAAAGGCACTTACTGCTAAAAAAGAAAAAAAAAAAAAAGAAAAGAAAAGAAAGAAAAGAAAACCCCTCAAAAAACTTCTCCTGGAAAGAAAAGGCTAAAAAATAATAATAATAATAAAAATTAAAGGCTAAGGCACCAGCCACATACACCTAAGGTAGCGGGTTCAAATCCAGCCTGGGCCCGCCAAACAACAATGACGGCTGCAACCAAAAAATAGCCGGGCGCTGTGGTAGGGAGGCTGAGGCAGGAGACTCACTTGAGCCCAGGAGTTGGAGGTTGCTGTGAGCTGTAATGCCACGGCACTCTACCCAGGGGGACAGCTTGAGGCTCTGTCTCAAAAAATTAAAACTACCGCCTTCATGTTTACATGGATGGAGCTGGAACATATTCTTCTTAGCAAAGTATCTCAAGAATGGAAGAAAACGTATCCAATGTATTCAGCCCTACTATGAAGCTAACTTATAGCTTTCATAGGAAAGCTATAACCCAATTATAGCCCAAGAATAAGGGGAAAGGGAAGAGGGAGGGGAAGGGAGGGGGGAGGATGGGTGGAGGGAGGGTGATTGATGGGATCACGCCTATAGTTCATCTTATAAGGGTACATGTGAATCTTTCTAAATGAAGAATATAAATGTCTTAACACAGTAACTAAGAAAATGACATGAAAGCAATGTTAACCAGTTTGATGAAAATATTTCAAATTGTATATAAAAATAGCACACTGTACCCCATGAAAGTATTAATGTACACAGCTATTATTCGATAAAAAAAAGGAAAAATAATTAAAACTAAACAAAAACTTCACTTGATAGAAAAAAGCTAAAAAGAAGGTGACAGTAAAGATGTCATTATAAAAGCCTATTGATTCACAAACCTCCTTCTTTTGGCTAACTCTAAGAGTAAAACTCTTTTTGCCATGTGAGATTGTTACCTTATTATTCCTTATTTCCAGGAGCTCCTGAGAACATGAACCAGAAGTACTGAGGTAATCTTGACACATTTTCTTAACCATTTTATGCAACTCTTCAAATTCCTTATATACAGCTGGGAAAAAAGGCTTTGCCAGATGAACTTTTTCAACCTTCGTGAAGATAAAGATTAAGAAAAAAAAGTTTAGGCTGGGCACAGTGACTCACGCTTGTAATCCTAGCACTTTGGAAGGATAAGGCGGGTGGATCACCTGAGTTCAAGACTTTGAGACCAGCCTGAGCAAGAGCGAGACCTTGTCTCTACTAAAAATAAAACAACTAGCCAGGCACTGTGGCAGATGCCTATAGTCCCAGCTACTTGGAAAGCTGAGGCCAGATGACCCCTTAAGCCCAAAAGTTTGAGGTTGCTGTGAGCTGTGATGCCATAGCACTCTACCCAAGACAAAAGAGTGAGTCTGACTCACAAAAAAAACAAAAGAAGAAGAAGAAGAAGGAAGAAAGAGAGGGAGGGGAAAGTAAATGAAAGAAAGGAAAGAAATGAAAGAAAAATTTAAACCTGAGGCAATCATATGAAAAATACAGAAAGGAGCCTCGACAAAGGACACCTCTTCCTCAGCTCCTCAGCTTCCCATCAATGGTTGGTGTTTCCTTTCACTCCCCAGTGTACCTGCTACGTGCCCGGCACAGCATGGGGAAGCCAGAATGGGCCTAAAGAGCAGGCCAGGAAATAAATGACCCTGGGTGACTGCCAGAGAGGGTGTGGGTGAACTCCAAGGACAAAGATGCCAAGGGAATGGAAAGGGGAGGCAGAAAGGCAGGCAAGGCCTTCAGTTCTGCTATCCATGGGATGTGTGTGGTGCAGTGGCCTGGGTGTCAGAGTGGGCACAGAGGGAACAGAGCCTGGGTAGAGGAAGACAATTGGGGTGGGAGGATCCAGGCTGGCTGCTCCCTCCACGCCAATTAAAACAGTCAAGGGAGGCTGGGTGGGGTGGCTCACACTTGTAATCCTAAGCCCTCTTGGAGGCCAAGGCGGGTGAATAGCTTGAGCTCATAAGTTCGAGCCTAAGCAAAAAGCAAAACTCCATCTCTATTAAAAATAGAAAAACTGGGGGTGGCGCCTATAGCTCAAGGAGTAGGGCACCAGCCCCATATGCCAGAGGTGGCGGGTTCAAACTCAGCC